GTGAGATCTCCTGCGGGCCCACGGTTTGAGCTGCAGCCGATGTGGCCATCTGCTACTGCATGCATGCGTTTTACTTAACCGCGAGAGCGAGTGAAAGATGACACGTGCATCAGCATCATGCATGAATGACACGTGTGAGAGATAACACACGCACCAAAAGTGTAAGAGGCTGTTTGGTTCTCATGCTCAGCTCGCCACGCCTAAGGTGAGGCGCGCCACGACTTCTTAGGCAGGCGTTTGGTTCTCCACCCAAGTTAGGCTCGCCACAACGCCACAGGGCCTTTGCCGCAGAAAAATTCGCCAAATCTGTGGCGCTCGATTTGCCCGCCACACTCGCCGCGGCGCGCCAAAGAAGCCGCGAAAATCCCCGCGGGCCTGATTAATAAAGTCGCCGCTTCCCTGTTTCCTCCCCAAAACTCTGCTCCTCATATTCTTGACTGCCATGGATGAGAGCCCTTCTCTCTCCTGACCGATCCAACTGAGGAGGAGCTCGCCGCTGCAATCGACCTTCTCTTCCCTGGTAAAAATCCTCACCACCGCAATAGTAATCTCCTCCATCTCCTCTATCTCATCACCTACTATTCATCTCATACATGCAGATCTGGGCGTTCTTGCTTTTCAAGAGAAAAATAGCAGCCTTCTTCCGTGATCTGCGGGATTTCCTAGTCTAGCAGCTGCTTGGTTCTGCCCCTCTTGCATCTACGATCTTCCTTCTTATAGTCAAAGGTCAATCTTGTTAAGAGCAAAGGTAACACCGTAATCCCCTTTTGGAATTGTTGCATTTTTTTAGATATTAATTGTTGCATATTTGTACGAGTGAGAGCATACATAAGTAATTTCTTGTAAAACATGTGATGTTAATGTAAGATTGGGCATCTCTCTGTGTTATTTCTTAGAGATGTGTTAGACTGTTTATTTCCTCCATAATCTATTTAGTCATTTGTATTTATGAAAAAATTACACTATTCCACTCACTGATGCCATCATAGATTTCTTTTAATGATTTTATTGTTTCATAGGTGGACCGAAGGACATTATGCTTACAGTATTACACGCATTATTATAACTGGTATATGTGGAGGAGAAGATTGCTTGCAGCCATTCTTATGTGTTTAGCCATGTACTGGTATAGGATTAATGCCCAAAAAAGGAAGAGAAAATCTATAACTTATGCTCCCATGTTCGAACGAGATGTCGAAAGGATGTCACGCCTAAACCGTATGTATTATGGAACCGAAGCTCACTGCATAAGTGAGTTGCGCATGCGGAAATATGTTTTTCACAAGTTGTGTGCCAACCTGAGACGTCGTGGTCTGCTGGTGGACACATTCCATGTAACAGTGGAGGAGCAAGTTGCCATGTTCATCCATGTTGTGGGGCATAACTGGAAAAATAGATCAATTGGTTTTGAGTTTTATCGATCAGGCGAGACAGTTAGTAGGTACTTCAATGCTGTTTTAGATGCGCTGTTTATCCTTGCCCGTGATGTCATATGCATCAGAACTATCGAAGACCTGGTATGCTACCCCCATATCGTGGTGTTCGATATCACCTAAAGGAATATAGGGAAGCTAGAGACGCTGAGAACCCAAGGGAGTTATTCAACCATCATCATTCCTCACTTAGAACAACCGTTGAAAGAGCATTTGGTACCTTGAAGAATCGATTTAAAATATTTGCAAGTCAGACATTCTTTCCTCTGAAAACACAAGTAAAAATTGTGTTTGCTTGTTGTGCGCTCCATAATTGGATTTTAGAGGATGGTCCTGATGAGTATGTTTATGATGATGCTACTTGGTACTCGGCCCTTCCACGGAGTAGACGACATCGTCGTGACGTTTATGAAGAGAGTCAGGCATGGGCACGCAAAAGGGACGAATTAGCTCAAAAAATGTGGGAGGATAAATTAGCAGAACTAGCAGCTCAAGATCAAGATGATTAAGAAGTTAATTTGTGATCTATCATGTTTCTATGTTTCAAACATGAGTATTATTTTGTTATGTTTGGCTGTTATGTTTTTGTTTCATGTAAGACTATGCTGGTTGTACCTTTGTTAACTTGTAGCACTTATTTTCTCTTCAGTAAAATTGTTGGTTGTTTCATGTTTATTGGCCCTCATCTATTTTAATTAAAATGACTCACTCCATGAGAAACAGCGATGGCTAAGGGGAAGGGGAAGGCTGATGGTGATGGGTGCTCTCGTGAGAGGACCATTTCCTGGGCTGATGATCAGACCAAGTTTATGTTGGATTGGTGCATTGAATACATGAAGGAACAACATGCAGAATTTAGGTTCAGGAAGCATCATCTCATTAAGTGTGCTGATGCTTTAAATAGGAAATTTGCTATGGGGGTCACAATTTCTCAAGTTGATCGATACCGACACTTCAGACACTACAAAGAAAATTGGAAGTACATTGCTGCAGCAATTAGCAAGAGTGGCAACGTTTTCGATGATATTAGATGTGTGATAACCATTTCTGAGTCTGAAAAGTCTTGCCTCAATGTACGTATAATTTAGTTTCTTTTTGAAACTTACTATGGCTATTGCATTTAGGAACTTAATTTTTGTGTGCCTGTAATGCAGGATAGAGCAAGGCGCTGGCTTTCTAAGCCCATCAAGTTCTACTATGAGATGCAAGAGCTATTCACAGGCACTAGTGCTGATGGTTCTTTGGCCATGGATCATCATACATGCACAATTGATTCTGATGACTCGGATAATGATGAAGGGTTGTATGACCTTAACTGCTATCCACAATATGAGGGCCCTCTTGAGGAGGATTCTGACACTTTGCCAACAACACATGGCCCTAAAAGACCTCCAGTTCATGTCGGTGCTGATAATTCCTCATCTAGCACTAGCCGAGTTGGTACGAAGCGCCCAAGAGGTAGAAGGTCACCTAGTAAGAAGCGACAAAAAAAAGAGTCGTTTCGCGGAGTCTGCTGAAGAAATCAACTCTACATTGAAGTCACTCCAGCAATCTCTTGCTGCCCCTGCTCCTCAAATGCCCCAAGTAATTGATCCATATGCTAGTTTATGGCACAGGTTGGAGGTACTCCCAATTACCATGGATCAAAGAATTACTGTTGGTATGCACTTGTCTAGCAAGGAAAATGAAGGTTTGCATGGTTGGTTATGTTGTGCAAGTGACAAAACTTTTGAAACTTGGGTTTGGAAGTTCTTTGACAAATATGATGTTTAGGAGATAGCAACCTATGTGGTTTGCTAGTTGCTCACTTGTGATGTTTAGAAGATGGGAACTTTTGGTATTTAGGAGATTCCGATGTGTCTGCTTGCTGCTTTTGGGAGTTGAACTTGTGCTACACCTATTGATCTTTTGATGTGTAGTGAAACACTTTAATGTAAGGTGGCTGAAACTTGTGCTATGGTTAGGACTGTTACTTCATGACTTTATGAATGATGGCTGGAACTTGCATGCATCTATCTTATTTTGTATCTTCATACTGAATTGTGGTTGTGACTTATTTTGCACATATGATATTTAACGGAAAATGATCCATGTTATTTTTATGGCTATTAGTACTGTGACAAAATCTTCTTACATTTACTAGAGCATGTTGTAATCCGATTGGTTTGTAACAAAAATGGCATAATACCACCACTCTAGCACTAAGGTGATTCTAACCAGATGTGGCAGGAAACCAAACATAAGCCACAGTTTTTTGCCAAACATGTGTGGAAGCAATCCAAACACACACCACACAAAATCTGCCACACCTAACCTAAGGCATGGCTATCAACCAAACAGTCTCATTTTACCACACATTGTGGCAAGCCACACTTGTGGCTAGTGACTAACCTTAGGCCAACTCCACCGCGCGACCCTATCCTGTCCGGCCCCGTCCGTTTGGGGTAAAACGGACAAAGGAGGCGGCCCAGCGCACGAGGGCCCGGACCCATCTTGTCCGTTTTGTGTCCGGGCCGACCCATTTCGAGCGTAAACTTGCGCCTGGTTTGGGTCGCGGCGGACACCAAACGGACGCGCGCTCGTCCGCGTCGGGGACGCGTGGCAGGCGGCCGCCCACCTCCCACCCACCCACTTCAATGCGCACGAGCGGGCGGCCCCACCTGTCATCCGCACGTCGAGCGGTCGCCGTCCTTCTTTAAGTGGGAAGCATGGAAGGGTCGTCGTCCACACTGCCCCGCGCCACCCAGCGGCCTCCTCGAACCCTGACAGCCCCGAAACCCTAGCCCGCTCCTCGTCGAGCTCGCCGGCCGCCCACCTCGCCATGGGCTTCTGGAACGGCAAGGGGAAGCACGACCGCGAGGCCGGCTCCTCCTCGGGGCGCCGCCGTGGCTCCGTGAAGAAGAAGGAGCTCGCGTCTCCGCCGCGCTCCTCCCGTCGAGCCCCCGCGCCGGCCCCCTTCACCATTGCCCCTAGGCCCTCCGGCGCGCGCGACCGGCAGTACATCTGCGCGGACGTGTGCCGGATGTACTGGGAGACGAGGACGCCGGTCCCGTGGAGCGACGCCCACCTCCCCAACGGGTGGCATCTCTCCGTGGACCGGGTGCCCATCCCGCCAGTGCCGGCGACCGGCCGTGCACGGCGCGATGAGATCAACCGCCGCCGCCGCCTCCTCCCCGACGACCTGTACTACGACCACAGGTACGCCCCGACTCGCCGCTCTGGGACACATGGCTCCAGGACGAGCACGACGTGCGGCGCGCGTCCTACTTCGCTGGCACCGTGTCGGGGCCGCGGAGGCCACGTGCAGAGCCGCGCGGGCGTACGCGGGTGCGTGGCCTGACGCCCACGCCGTCGCCTTCCCCGTCTCCATCGCCCCCTCCCCCTCCTCGCATGACAGCGGAGGAGGAGGCCCGTCTCCTGCAGCGTGTCATGGATGATTCCATGAACACGCACGACGAGCGGCAGTGGGACGGCCTGGAGGAGGCCATGGCCCTCTCTGCCGCCGGGGACGTCGCCTTCCCCGTCAAGGAGGAGAGGAGGGACGACCCGCCGGCCGCGTTCCAGAAGTTGCTGGGCCAGGAGTGGGGCTGGTCCTGCACTACTCCGGAGATGGCCGCCGGCGTGGGCGTGAACTGGTGCCCCACTCCGCCGCGGTCACCGGAGCGGGAGGCCTCGCCACGCGAGGAGGTGGTGCAGGCACCTCCGGCCGTCCAGCCGGCCCCCGTCCACCACGCACCTCCGGCCCACCTCTGGACGCCGCCGGACTACGTCGACCTCGTCAGCGACGACGACGACACCGGCGGCCAGTGAAGACGGCGACGGCCACGGCACCGACGGGCGCGGCAGGAGCGCGCGGGAGGCGGAGGCATTTTTTTATTTTGTTTTATATGTTAATTATGAAAAATGGGCCTTTTAAGTGGCCGTGGAAACTGGGCCGTATTGTGGTCGCCCCCTATATATATTTTATGTTTTTTAAAAATGTGTTTATTTAGTTTTTTAGTTATTTCGTTTTAGTTTTAATATTTCTTTTATTCACGTCCACCCCGGACACGATTTGGGGTGCGGCCGCGCGGTGCGCGCACGCACGACCCATCTGACAAAGGCGGACACGGGCGAACCCATCGGCGCCCCAAAGAGACAAAATCCGGCCAAAACGAACGTCCGTTTGGGGTCACGCGGTGGAGTTGGCCTTAGGTGTGGCAATTTGAGTCTCCAACCAAACAGCCCCTAAGTTATCCGTAGGATGATTTTCCTTTCACCGTTCAATATCAAAAAACGTGGCTGGCAATTATCTTGGCCCGTTGCCGTCGGTGTCCGTTGCAGTCTCGGAGACGTACGGTCCAGGGGACAGCGTGACCTGGCGAGTGGGCCCTTGTTGGAGTACAGTGTGGCTAGTGGGGCGAGGAAAGAATTATTCAGGCTCGTTCGTTCCGTTCCGACAGGGACCACGCGTGCAACAGCAGCACAGTCGGCTGTATCTGTATGCGTCGTAGACTTGCAAGGGTCGTAGCCAGCGGCCGGTCCAATCGTATTCCAGATCGCTGTGGTGTGATGGGGAGGTTTGGTGATGTGGCACTTCTGCTTGACTCGTACCTATAAGCCCACTGTCACTGAGGCCACTCAATCAGCTCAGCCACAACTCGCACTACGTACGTACATACATACATACAATCGGTAACGTGATCACGATGCTGAGTGAAACACCAATTCATATTTGGGGTGAAAACTTTTATCCCGGTTTTTATTGGTTGGGCTCATGAACGATAGACTTGAGTTGTTACACCCTCGCAAAATAAAAAAAGAAGTTGCATTGCTATCTTGTTGAAGCGTTGTTTATTTGCTATGGTGCTGATCTTTATTGGCTGGTCTTGGCAATCAGGATGAAAATAATTGTCGAGCTTATCTTTGACCGGATGTGGGACGATGGCATCAGGATGTTTATCCCTTTATGAAGGTGTTGGTATGGAAGAAGTCGACTTAGTCATAAGTGTTTTATTTTAATTGCATTTTTTATTTACTCTACTCTACATAATAATTTATTAAAATGGTTGTGTGCATTGCAATGATGCAGAGGCTGGGGATTTCCACCTTTTTTTTGAAAATGATTTTTTCCAATTACAGCTATAAATAAACCCGGCATAAAAAGTATACTATAAAACATGTACCTCCGATAATGGGAGATGGGATTAATCAAATAGAGTATCAATCATATAAGAGGTGGGAATCCACTTGGACAGCTAGACAGATAGTGACCCAACTCAACACTCGCCCACTCTTGCTCCAGTTAGCCTAGGAAGACGCTCTAGGCTCTATCTTGAAACACACATCAAGTATGGCTCTGCTAGCCATGTACAACCATGCATGTACGCAACAATAAATTCATTACTCGCTCCGTTTTAAAATGTAGTGCATGCTTTAAAAAAATGTTGGACATATCTATGTTTCTTTATGTTTATATAATACACTATCGACATCTAAAATACTAAATAAATATAATATAAAATTACACTTGATGAATCTAAGGGCATCTCCCACGCCGACCAGAAACCTCCCGCATGCATTCGGACCGAACTGTTGGGACGATGCAAGTCATTCAACGGTGTCTCGTATTTGTCCACGGATCGGTCCGAGTGTCCGTTTCCCTGCAAACCGGATGCTAACCAGGGGAGCTTTGTGAGAGTCCGGACACCAACCATGAGGACTCCGACACCCCCGTCCCACCTAAAACTGAGGGGGAGTCGCACATTTGGACCTGGCCACACTGTTTCCGTGCCAAACCCCCCATTTCTCCATCTCCTCTACGATCCCGCTCCTCTCACCCAAATTCCTGCCCTCATTCTTCCCCGTCGCCCGCATGGACCCGTACGGAAAGCTGCCGGCGACAGTGGAGGTGCAGGATTTGGCGAAGGCGGTTGCCCGAAAGATCAACTTGGCAACACGACAAGCCCGCCACCTCTAACAAAAGGCAAAGGAGGCTCGGATAGCCAGTGTGCCCGAGCAAAAAAAAAATCCATTTTTTGTACGAACTGCCAAACTATGATAATTTTGTGATCGGCCATTTAAAAACTATGAACATCAACCTTTTTTGTTGTGATCGGGTGCTATGCATTTGAATTTCATGTTGGTTGGACTTGGGTAGACGTTTAGGCAGTGCCGTAGCCAGGATATGGCTACGCCCCGGGCTAGCTTCGGTGGAACAGTAATTACTGTAGCTACACCACACGACTGTAGCTACAACACGCTGCTGTAGCTACCATATATGAAGTGTTTTCCTTCCATGCCCCGGGCCATGGCCTAGCTATGCCACTGCGTTTAGGGTATGTGGTTGGATGACCGGCTCCTACATCCATGTTCACATATTAGTCCGAAGCAGTCCGTGGACGGATACGGTGTTTGATTTTGGGGTCGGCGTTGGAGATGCCCGAATGGTTCTAATTTTATTTTGTGGATGTTGATTTTTTTTAACTTGATCAAACATACACATCTTTAACTTTTAGAAATGAAAATATGCACTACA